ATCACCAGGGAGAAATTGATCATTATGACATGCGTATTTAGCTGACTCATAGAAAATTTTAGGTGATAGATATCAAGTAAATCCTGAATGATGTAAATCCTGATGAATGTGAATCTGATGACTAAGATGGAATACCTGTATAAAGAGAGAGAAGGATTAGTAATTTGCATTTAATTTCACTGCCTTATTTGCTTATCCATGCAGCACTAGTGTAAATATCACTTCAAATTGCTTGTAAAGTGCCTAATCGTTCCAGTCTCGATCAATCCCAACGATGCGTTTATGAGCAGCTACTACACAAAACTACAAACGCCACATTTCACACAATCGGTACCCATTTTAAACATTAAACATTTTATAAAATGATAGATTTGTTGCACAACTGACAGGAACAATTGTACCGGATAATCATGGGTTCTACGTCGTGCCCCTCCCTAGCCACAGACTCTTTTTTAAAGTTTAAAGAAAAAATTACAATTTTTCGAATATCTCCATATCACGAAACTAGCTAATCCATCACTATCAGGGTGACATCTGTCGAATTTTATGGTGGAAAATATTACTCAATAGTACTGAATATTTTATAAATATGGTAAAATGTTTCCAACTTACTGTATCTGAAGTATCTGAATAGCAAAATGGCCCTTATTAAATAAGAATGATCCTGCAATCACCGTCTAAACAAATACATCGTTGTAAACAGTCTCATCTCGGAGGAGGTTGATTTCACGTGAAATGTATTGCGGTTATTATTTCCAAGTCATTTTTTTGCTACCATTCATCTCCGTAATTTCCCATAACTGCATCACGTTTCTAGATGCGGTGGATGCATTCTGCGTCGTTGATGGTTGATTGCACCCGCACAAAATGCTGCACTTATTGGTTCACCACCACACTGTGTCCGGCCGTTCTCGTCCGCCGGTCATCGAGAGTTGGGATAATGACTGGCATTTTCTCTAATTGAAATCGATAGTGTATAAAATATCTCAATTAATTTACTCTGTCATTAGATCTGCGGTCCCCCATCGAACAGCCAACAGCTCTATATATCTTAGCTCTGCTGCTGCTGACTGGAGATGGTCTTTGGGGGCACTTGTGCCTCACCCACAAGTGCCACTTTGCAGCGACGAGCTGTTTATTCAACCTCACGCATCTCCAGACGTCCAAACGACCAAAATTTTACAACTAGGAAGTGGTTGAAATACTGCGCCAAGCAAATCTGCTAAGAAGAGTGTTTACCCATGCTGCAATTGTTAGCCGGATGATAAACCGCCTGAGAGTCCGATGCTAGTCATCATCATTCACAAAAAAGCACGCGTCCGACGAGAGCAAATCGACGCTTTGATCGTTTCAGTCGTCGTCGTCGTTGAATCGATCGATCGTATTTTTTCTCGCGCTCGCACGAGGAGGAGACTTCAACGTTTCAACCGCGGGCGACCTTCAGCGCTACAAACACGGCCCGTTCCAGTTGGCATATATGGCGATATGAAATAAATGTGTGTTTATTTTTTTTTATTTTTATTTTATTGTAAAGGGGAAAATAAAATTACACATTAAGGGTACGAGCTTTAAATTAAAAATTAAAATATATTTTTAGCGATTTTCCGTCCACGAGGCTGAACAGATTATGAATGGGGGTTGGAACTTCTCGTACGAACTCAATCGTCGCAGCACACAGCATGTTAGGTTTGATGCAAAAAAAAAGACGATAAAATGCGCTTTGGTGAGAGATTCTGCAGACCTGATAACGGTCGAGTATGTGTCACAGCGCAGCTGGATATGAAATATGACCAAGTTGAAATTGCAAATGATACAAGGATTAAGCGGTTGATAATATCTATTGATAACCAGGCTGTGTGCCTTGAAATTGTATGGATCTTCTCCGTTGAATGCGTTCTGTTCTAGCAATGAACGAAGATTGAAATTCAGTCAGATGCTTTGAATCACTCTCAGTACCGAATTTACCAGCGACCAGCTGATGTCGCACGGCACTAAACATGTCTCATGCGCTCTCGATCGAGTAGGTTGAACGTAGCAAAACAAATGCCTTACAGGCTCAATTCTTTACAGCACCCACTAGGTTTCTACATTCTTCGCACGAAAATGTTGTCGCAGCCTAAGTTAGTTGTTGTAACCAACGTTCAGTGGGTTGATCGAGGTGACATCGAATTGAACAATGTACTCTCCGAGTGCGGAGTTCTGTGTATGGAAGTACGATTTATACCGGCATATATGTACAGGAATCTTCCGCGTAGTGCAGTAGGTGCTGTCCTCCTACTACAATTTCCCAGCGGCCTTCCAACCAATTGAGCTTATTTTCGGTAGACGACAAGTTTATGGTTGACATACAAAAAATCAATTCAACTGGATGGAAGACAGTCAAGAAATTGCGGTGGGTGAACGACACCATCCACAGCGCTATTCGGGGGATTCCTGTCCCTATGAGAGAATCTATCCGATTCGGTGGAAGCTCCTTGTGAACGATTCTGTGAGGGTGGCTCCATTTGGTTTTCGTGCTACGAATTATTGAAAAATTTCAAATACCCTATTTTGAAAATATTTGCAAGATTAAAAATGGCCGAACTTTAGTACAAATGTGAATGATTGCAGATAACAAGCAATTATGCAAAGTTTCATGGAAATCAGAGAAGGTTGAGACTAAAATTCATTTGTTTTGCTATTTCACCTGGACCTGCACATACAACCTTCGAGTGCGTGTTTTGGCCACTATTTTTTGCTTTAGCGTTCAGTATGATTGCTCACTAGTACGAAATGGAAACCTTCCCACAAACGAACGGTGCAACGACTGGCATAGTATTTCAAAATCGGATATCACAATCTGAGTCGCCTTCATTAATCCTGAATGTGCTTAGTACTTTCAAACACAAAATTCACTACGAAGATAACGCTGGACTCCCCGAACCACGGTATTTTGGTCGTGACTACGTCTTTCTTTACTATATAGGGGCTCACATTAAGGAATAAAAAATGAGACATGTAACGAAAATGGGGTGTGTTTTCAAACGCATATTTCTCCAAAGCATTCTTGTGAAATATGTCATGCAATATGTCATTCGACGGGGAATTTATCCAGCAAATTTTATGGCATATATTTCAAATAGTAAAAATAGTTAAACAACTAAGAAGTTCAACTAAAATTGGAAGCAACCATGCATTTGCTTAGACCACAAGGTGTCTTTCCTAACAGAGATATCACATAGTTGGTTCTAAACGAAACAAGTCGAAGCCGCATTTCCTTTCGAACCTCGGACGTGTTCATATCGTTCATCACGTTAATTTACTCAATCGGTAGTTAAAAGATGCACCGAGAATTGATTGGAGGGATTTAAAGCTAAAATGTCATGATCCCGAGACATTCGTGATCGTAGCAATACTTGAAATTACAGGCCTTCCTTAACGCTTCTCTTAGGAGTATCAGACCCATAATCACACCGTTGGTCCCCGGTCCAAGAGTTGATGGGTCGATAGGTAGGTTCCAGGTGTGGGAGCTGCCTCCCTGGCATCGGTAGCATTGGTACTCAGTACGGAAAACAAGATCGACGGAAACCAAATCAAGGAAAAAGAAGTATGTCATCAGGAAGCTAGTATTGCCTATAGTGGGGCAAAAGTACGAGACAGCGGGGCAAAAGTTCGAGTCGTTTCTCAAACCCATTTAATCATTCAGAAATGCCTCAAATGCATTTATTTTCACTAAACAATCATGAATGCAACAGAATGTGACAAAAACCTTGAAAAAATTGCGAACTTATTGCATTTATTATGGAAAATCAAGTGTTTTCTTTATGTCCTTCACACCATCATGGGGTATTCGAAGATTAATAGTTGCGAAACTTCTCAAAAACTGCCTTAAGTTTGCGAACTTTTGCCCATTGCTGAAACGAACTGTTGTCCCACCTAAAATCGATTTAGCTACAAATGGACTGAAAACTCATCAAAGTTCTCCAAAGAAAGTTGTAAACCTGGAATGAGAGATCCTGTGTATTGAATTAGTTTGATTCAAAAAGGTTGAAATCTTGAGGAATTTTAATTCAACCGTTGCCCCAAATTGTAGAGTAAGATAATACTCGAAGGCGGATTCTCGAGGATACGAAGCTGTTGTTCTCAGCAGACAGGTCTACAAGCATCATTGATATCGACTCGGTTGTTCCACAGAACAACTTTGCATCGCTTAGGTTAGATGATTTCTTGTTTCAACGATATCCAACAATTGGTATGACGAGCGAATTTGTAATAGTTTTTAGGTGCGGTTATTTTTCGTAGAAGTCAGGGAAAATTGCAATACCGTTTCAAATACTTTTCTATATGTTCATTTATTAATCTTTTCCTTTTTTATTACAGTCACTTTAACGCTCTTGGGTCATTCGTGACTTGTGCGGGGGTAAGATTTGAACTCGTGACCTCTACGCCGGGGTCGCCCCCACTCTTTTCCTTTTCCTAATAGTAAAAGTATGTGAAAAATTGTATACTTCTTCAAATATTGACGATTATATTATGATTCACTACAAGCCTAACAGCATAAAAATCTAAAATCTCAGGTTTCCATAGAGGAAATACGTACAATTAAAGTTTAATTAAATTTCACTAAATTCTGTTAAAAAACATAGTTGCTACACGCAGTTACAAAAAGTGTTTTTCTAAGCGCATTTTCATCCGCTCAGAAAGCTCTCAATTGCGAAAACGTTCAAACAACACTAAGTTTAGCGCAGACATAAGTTTCTGCTGGACGATCAATACGATTCCAAGTCGCTAGAGCATAGAACTAGAACCACCCCAGAGAACCCATTTCCTTTAGCTCCCAGAACACTGCCTCACTGCTTCATGCCTACCCCATCAGTTCAAAAGCGTCTACTCCCTTTGGCAGAACTGACTCACACGCCGTACAGCCGCGCACTGTTGTTGCTGCTGGTCGTGCGACATCGAGCACGGAGAAGAGCGACATCATTAGTCTTCCATACGAACCCTGCGAGTGAGTGCGCGATCTTTTTATGCTAAACCAAGTCGCTGAGCCAGCCAGCCGCTATTAGTTCGGTTCGAACCGTCTGCGCGATCGGATTAAATCGACAGCATTTGCGCCCTCGCCCGCGTGACCACGTCCGTGTGTGTGCCCCTTACAGCGAGGCAGACCCCAAGAAGCGGAGAACGAAACGAGAAGAATATCGTAGGAGAAACACTAACAATCCCTGTCCCAACTCAGTGTGTGCTTTACTGGTTATTTAGTTGGATGGATTTTTTTTTTCGTGAGTGCATATTCCTCGCTTGATCATCGGTCACTATCAATAGAGAAGTAGTAACCGTACGTAACTGCTCTATGCCCACGGTGGGTCTAGATCTGCCCCGTGCAGATATTGGAGGACCAGGCCTGGGCGCATTGTGTCCAGTAGTGCAACGAGACGCAAACGAACCGTGGATTACTCAACAAATAATAGTGCAGTAATAATTGAATGTAAGTGAGAGATCTCGTCAAATAAAGTGGAGACTAGTGAATAAGTGAAAAATAAATACGCTGCGTCGACAAGGGAAGAATCTATGGTTTATGCAAATTTCTACGTGAAGGTGCTCGAACAGGTTTTAATTGAAAAATTATGAAATCTCTCCTTCAATCACGACGCGCAGCTTAACGCTGAAATAGTGAATCACACAATCCGGCAAGCGTGAAAAAAGAGCTTTTTTCTTCTAATAACCATAAAATCTTTTGTTGCTGCTTATTTGCAAATCAAAGCATCACACATACGCTCACACACATACAGACACGCATTCGATGTATGATATTCAATTTTGGTAAAGCAAGTGAGAAGTGTGGCGCGTGTGGGGAAGCAGTGAATGAAAAATAAACTGAATCTATATGTACATATCGAAGAACTTGAATATCAAGGAGAAAAAGGACGCCCACATTTCGCCCTCCTCACGCTGCTGCTGGTTTGCTCGGCTTTTGGCTCGACGCGGACCACGCGCAACCATGTGAGCCACCTTAGCAGCCAGTCAGTCAGCCAGCCAGCCATCTAACCAGCCCCAGCAGCAGCTTGGTGCACGAGATCATCGGGGTGGCCGCCCAAAGCAGCGCAATGGCAACAACATCCGATAGAGGTGTTCAACTTGACGGGAATGTGGGGAGGAATTGTTAGAATGGTCTTAACAATTCTTGCACAATTTGGTTTTTAGGACTAACAGAATGGTATTTTGTTTTATATTATAGTCACAATACCACATGTTAGGTCATTTATGACTTCTTCGGAGATGAGATTTAAACTCGTGACCTTCGTGCCAACACCATCATGCCAGCCCCACTCCCTGGTTATTATACAATTCATAATCAGTTGATGAAACTTTATGTCTTTGAGTAGAACAGAACCAAAAGTTTTAACATATGATTTGTAAAACGAAAATATGTGATTGTCATCGAATTAATCGAAAAAAATGAGCGAGGATACTATCGGTGATTTAAACGCTATTGATATTATCGTCGATGATAAACAAAAAAAAGAATGGTTTTGAAGCTAGTAAGAGCGTACTTATGACAGTATCGTCCCGATAATCCGACTTATTTGATAATCTGACTGTCAAGTGCATACAAATCAATGTTATAAATGTAAAAAAAGCTCCATAAGAGACTGTGATGTTGGATTAAGGAAAGCCGGAGTGGGGAAATACTGTATACGCAGCTAGTACTGCAAAATGTATAATTTTAGGTACTAGCTTAAAAGAGTACAGTGGTGAACTTTGTGCGTCTATCGAAGCTCTTAAATGCATCTAAGCTAAATATGTAATATATCACGCAATTTGACTAATTTCCAATTTCAGCAGTTTACTTTAAGAGAAACACGGGAAAGTATTTTTTACGGGTTCAGGACAAGCCTTTATTGGACAACTATGCTCAAAGCAATAATCTGAAGAATAATCAAATTCAAGAGCAAACTATAGCTGAAGAAACCTAAGTATTTTAATTGCCATTCGATGATATAAGAAGATGAAACTCGGATCAATGTGTATGGATTTATTTCATTTCACCATGAAAATCATAAATTAGCTCTATTCATCTGGCATTCTTGCCTGTTGTTTGGCATCCAAACTTGGTGAAACAAAAAGTTGGTTTTGTTTGTGATTTTGTTAGATAATTTTTTTGTTGTCTTTTTGTATTAATGTCTCAAACATTGTTTATGAGTATAAATCACATAGCAAAACGTTTTAACAAGTTCAAAAATTGGTCCAAAAGTACTTGTTCTACGATTTTTGTCAGTTTTCAAGTTTCCATGGTATTGAACATTCCAAAATATTGCATTTTTTATAAGCGTTTTCTTCAAAACTAATTTCAAAAATTGGGCAAGGACATTTTGAGATATTTACGTTTGTGTATTTTTTTTATGAATTTTAACTTAAAGTAAACCAAAAACTATGTTTGATTTTTTTCCCAGAAAAAAAATATTTCTCTACAACTTTGTATCAGATGTTATTTCGATCAAAAATGTCGTTTCCGTGCTACAGTTTCTTGAAAAATGTCGAAGTCGTCATTTTTAAAATTTTAAAAGATCCAAAGCTTACGAATCTTAACAAAAATGTGAATCGTTGCCCGTAACAACAAATTACACAAAGTTTCATACAGTTCGGAGAAGGTCGATTAAAAAAAATCCAAAGACGTTCGGTGGCGATTAGTTGTGGGATTTGTATGACTCCCGGAAACAAGAAATAAATATTTGACTCCAAATAAATATACCAGCTAGCTGCTGAGTAGCATCAATTTCAAGTACAAAAATGCTTGCTTTTCGACCCTTTGATCGATCAGAATATTACAAGGGCACACACTATACAGTAATTAGTGTATGAGATCGATATTTCAACGCTTAGATTACTAACTTCAAACCCTCAGTTTGAATCCTAAATGTAGCACAGTTTGAACCGGACTGGTAAAATCTAGATCCTTTGTTGTGATAAATTCAACACATGCCCTTATTCCGTATATGCAATCGCACAAATTATCGTGGTAGTTTGGCCTATTTTAAGAATGGAGAATCAAAGCGTTTTCTCTACGTCTATTACACAAACCGTAAGGCTTCTTTGCATCATCATCAAGTTATCACTCACTCATTTTCAAACAATAGCTTGTGATTATAATGCAAAGCCTTCTATCCAAATTTGCATACAGTTCAAACCAAAGCCTTCACCTGTACAACATTACACCATAAGAAAATAGAGTTGACCTTATTATCAAGTGCAACATTCTGAACCCATTTAATTGTTTTATGTTTGGAATATTTGTGAACATACCTCATTAGTTTGGCCAGTCGTGTACGTTTCAACCAGTTATAATCCAACTCACTGAACTGTTGCAAACTTGTTAAATAGTACGTTACAAAAATGTAGCTATTTTAAAAGACATCATGAAAAATTTCCGTTGCAGATAAGTGGATTAACGTTTTTAACGTTGCAGATAAGTGGATATTAACATTAAGCATTCTTTTTAAGCTGCAACAACACCATACGTATCTGCACCGTTACGTATTTTTATATTTATCGATGTTCGAATTATGTTGAAAATATGTAGCATTGTTGTGTATGTGCGTGCGCTAAACGTCACTTGTCACACACATTGATGCAGCTTCTCCGTCATCAGCCATCAGTTTTCGGCATTATGGGCCACTTTCAGATCGCCAGCAGTTCCGGAAAATATGAACTCCTTCTCTACCACATCCCCAATGGCTACATCCCCGTTCGGCGGTATCAGCTCGACATCGGCATCAAACACTGACAACTTATTTGGTGCTCCCAGCTCCAGCAACACTGGATCCAATGTCACCTCAGGCTTCTCACCGCTTTCTTAGGAAAATTGGAATGCCCTCTCAACTGCTATGGCCACGCCAGCCACTATTGGCATCGTCGTTAGTCACCATCGGCCTCCGCCGTCTGTAAACCTACCTTCCTCGTCGTGGTCTTCCTCACCATGATAATTTGTCAGTTCACTGTCCTATGCAGATGTTAGCACATGCATTACAATGTCTCCACTTTTGCCAATGTAGTCCAAAAGTGTTTTACAACATCCCAGTGTCATGACATATTTGAGCCATAGTAGTTACTAGATGGTTGCAACAAACCTTAACAGTAACAACTTGATCCAGTTGGCTGCAGAACGAAGTTTGAAAACGATCCAAAAGCCCGGCTGATGCCACTTTGCATTTTCCAGGGGATAATTATCTGCTATCGGAAAACATGCTATAACAAAACTGCTTCCCCATTATGCAAATTTAATTCCTAAAATCACAATAGTGTCCGACATTAACATCCTAGAAAACTCGAAGTGGCAGTGCAAGTGCCAATGACTCGTGGATGTTGGATCGTATCACCTTATTGGTTCGTCAACTTTTTAATAACATCATACAACAAATACAACACAGGTTAGATTTGTTGCTCAAGTGTTGAGTGTAACATGTTTGCTCCTCCCATTTGATGCATGGTTTGAGAGGTCATCCAAGCAGTACATTGCAACAGTTGAGTTTCATTATTGAGACCTAAAGTAAATCAATCAACAAACTGGAAACAGTTTAGTATCAAGATGTATTTCTTGCACCATTGAAGAGATCTCGAGGCAACTTAAATAAAAAAATAAAAACAATTGGCGATGTTTTCTGTGTTGCTTGGGTAGTAATGACACATTTAACCTAGCGATACCTTCGGCTTTCGGTTTAATGCTTAATTTTTCAAAAAATTCAAAAAATCCAGAAAAAGAACCGAGAATTTATTTTGTTGGGATTCACTGGTCACCTTGTAACATAATTGTAAACTTGAGTTAAATTTAAAATATTGTGTATGCAAAGCTGTGATCAATGTCACCGATTTCAACCAAACATTGCCAAAATGCTTAATTATGCTTTTCTAAGAAAATGCCTTTTTGGATTTTGCTCTAAAGTGCTTGATTCCTTCTGGGCCACAACTCTGGATGTTAAGATTTTTAGATATTATATCTTTGATATTATATTATAATATTGTATAATATCATACATTACAATATATTATATACATACTACGAAAAAGACATGTAAATTTCAGTGCCCTGAGACCGACGAATGCAAGTGGCCCTTTTGACATAAGAATCAGAATCAGTCGCACTTTTCGTCGAGTTGCATATGTTTCAGTTTCAGGACACCTAATTTTACATGCCATGTTTGTTTACGTTCCATGATTTACGTCAAAGCTGAATTACGTCTCGTGTAAAAATAGTAATTTCTAAGTGTGTATATACTCCGCAACCAAACAAGATCAATTACTTCTTTACCCTCCAATTTAAACCTTCCTAATGAATTAGGAAAAATTTACACAGTGTTAAGAAGGTTAATGTAGAATAAAATAGGTTAATCAAAATTGGATTTGTGGTGTTCAACCTACTATAATGAGCTAGACTGTTGAAAGTTATCCAAAGTATAAGAAAGACCTTTTCTCATACTTCGCGAGATTTGT